AAGTTAATTAAACAGCAACAACACGGAAATCACTCACTGCTCTTGATTGAATAACTTTTGTAACTTTAATAAGGAATAATTTTTAATTTATAGTCAAATATGCAATGTTATTTTACATTTGATTATTCAATTTCTGTACCTAAAAACTGTTTAGACGTACCTAAAAAACCTGAAAAGCACTGTTTATTTTATTTGTATCTTTGCTCTATTGTATTTATTTGTGCTGTTGCTTGTAGTTAGATTATGTGTTCTTATTTTCTTTATTTTTATTTGACAATATAGTTTTTTCCCTAAACATAGCACATACCAAACCGTACCGAAACCGTGACTTTAATGGCACTTTTCCACTGCGTGGTACAACTCGGCTCAGTACGGCACGGTTTGCGTTTCCACTGCAGTTCAGTACCGCTTTAGAGTGGGCGGGATTATTCACGTCGTTATAGTTGCGTCGCCTCTACTAACACGACTCCTAAAAAAAAAAAACTTTCATTCCGCGTCGCCCCATCAAGCTCTTGCTGGACCCGCTCCTCTGCTATCCTCTGCTATCAACTGCTATCTTCCGCAACAGACGACAAAACTTTTTTTTTGGCAAAAGGCGCGCTCGTTCATAACGGTTGCGTTCGATCCTTCGCTGGCTGTGCTGATTTCAATCTAGCGGTTCTGTTGAGAAAGAAATTATAGAAATTAATACTTTTATTTAGCAAGGATGCTTAAAATTGATCAAAAGTGATGATGAAGGCATTTATAATGTTACAAAAGATTTCTATTTCAGATAAATAGTGTTCATATCGATATCGGAATTATATCGTATCGGCCGAAATTAAGAAATATATCGTGATATCAATTTTGGCCATATCGTCCAGCCCTAACTGTACCCAGTGGAAAACCCCCCAAAAGTGAGCCGTACCATCTAGTGGAAAAGTGCCATAAAACAGTGATACAAACCGAACCGTGAGTAAGTTGAACCGTGGCACCCCTACTGCTTTATCAGGCATATAACATGCAAGATGAAATGAAAATGACATCGAAAATTTTCCTTCCTTCAAAATCTTCCTTCAGAAATACAGTGATATAAAAACACCCGCGCCTCGTTTTGATTTTTTAAACGTGCAGTACGTGCTCATGTTTATTCAATGAAGCCTTTTGGAAAATCGGTCAGTTTTGATATCGTGGCGGGTCGCCACAAATAAATAAATGTATGGGAAACACATCCCACAGCACAACAACCTGAGCCCAACTTCATT